CTGTTCCTAACATTATTCTCCTGGTTTATCTTGCTGTTATGATGAGGTTGCAGCTGTTTGCAATCATCATGTCTATTACTTGATCAAAACTCTTCCTGTAACTTCTACATCATTAACTTCTAAATAGCCAATAGACTAGCTCCATGAACCAGACCCCCTGGAACAAGCCAGGATATAAAGAGATCCTTGGGACCTTCTCTAAGCCATGTGGTATCTCCCTTAGGCTGAAACTATCCCAACTGTAGGGTCCTAGGGAGTGTTCAGTGTGGTGTTTAAAGGTGAACTTTCCTACAGTGTGTTTCTGGGTGAATATCCACATCTGTAATTAAAGATAGGTGTGAAGTCTTGGGGCATACCAGTGGCTGGCTGAATGTCGCTTTTTTTCTGTGGTTGACTGGACACAGTGCATTGGTTAAAACATTTTACTTCATTAGTGTGTTTGTACCAAAGGCACTATTGTCTGTTTCTTCTTTTGTATTAAAATCCTAAGCAGTGGATTTTATCATCATTATTTATAGGTAGTAAGTTTCCCTAGAGGTCTGCGTAGCCTAATAAAATGTCAACATTAGGTATCCTATGAACATGTTGTAGTAATCCATAAAACTCCTCAAAATGTCTAAGTCTTGCTCCTTCTAGCAAAAATGGATGAAATTCAGTGCCATACCTGCTCTTTCCCACCAGGATGCCCCTGCAGTGATGGTCATGCTGAGTGTGGGGCTATCCCTCATGACACTAGGTGGATGCAGCCCAGTAGCCTACAACTTACAAATGCACCTGCACTGGTGACTTGGGTTTCAATGCTGAGCTCCCCTGGGCTCATTGGTGGCAGGTGGAACCAACTCTCTTCTGCCTTCCCTCCCTCTCTCTGCTTTGGTGGCTGCAGGGCTCTTGTGGAGGAGGATGAAGCAACTAGGCCATCCACCTCCTTGCTCATCCACCTTCCACACAGCTGGGCTCCTGGCCCAGGCCAGAGGTACCATCCTGAGAAACATTAAGTGAAAATATTATTAAAGTCATTTTGGAGAAAAAGGTCAACTTTAATCCTGCCACCTTAACACATTTTACCCATTTATTAAAAACTGCCTTCTAGGTCTTGTCTATTAGTATATATTTTCATACAATGTCAGTCTGATGTACCTCCTATTTTATATTCCTCTCCCCCATTAAAATCGCTTTTAGCCCTAACCGGTCTGGCTCAGTGGATAGAGCGTCGGCCTGCGGACTCAAAAGGGTCCCAGGTTCGATTCCGGTCATGGGCATGTGCCTTGGTTGCGGGCACATCCCCAGTGGGGGGTGTGCAGGAGGCAGCTGATCGGTGTTTCTCTCTCATCGATGTTTCTAACTCTCTATCCCTCTCCCTTCCTCTCTGTAAAAAATCAATAAAATACATATTTTTTTAAATCGCTTTTATTTTGTATATTAATAATAAAAATCCAGGAAATAGAAACTTTTGTATTATATACAGATACCAAGTAGGTGGGTCTTTTGTGTGTGCTTTTCTCTCCTCCAACAGTCCATATTCCCACATTATCACTAAATTAGCAGTCAGCCTCTTCTCCTTGGCACTTGCCAATGGCTATCTTTACCTAGTTGACTAGGCTATATATACATATACTGTGTGTGTATGTATATTTTAAACACATCTCACATCTTGAAGTCTTACATACCCCCCCATATAAACATGTACCTCTACTTGCTGATTCTTTTTTGCCAGTGTTTCCTTCCATAGTGCCATTTTCCCAACCACTGTTCCCCTAAAGATTTTTTTCTCTGCCTTCTCACCTTTCTACTTACCCAGTACAAAGCCTGAATATGCTTTCACAAAGAAGCCTTAAAATATCTCAACATACTTTTTTTTAACTAGCAGTGAATCTTTACTTAAATATGTTTTTATTGATTTTGTTTTTAGAGAAGAGAGGAAAGTAAGGGGAGAGAAACATCAATGCATCAACATCAATCAACATGCCTCCTGCTGGGGAATCTAGCCTGAAACCCAGGCACATTCCCTAACCAGGAATCAAACCAGCAGACAGCAGACCTCTTGATGCATGGGTCAACACTCAGCCATTGAGCCACACTGTCCGGGCTTACCATACTTTATTGCATTCAGACCTTTTTATATCCAAAAACCATTTTATCACCCTTCTCCAATACCCATACCCATTTTATTCTGCATTTACAGTTCCTGTGCTCCATGTATACTTATTTTCTAAATATCCTCTTCCACACCTTCATTTTATTTAAATTCTTTTTAAAAAAAAAAAATCTCACTCCCTTTCTTTTGGAGTCTGCCTCCAAACCCAAGGTTTCTCTTTTTTTTCAGTCATCTTTCTCCCTTTCACTTTTAACCTCTCTGGTAATTTTTATTTTCTCACCCTTCTCCAGAAGCTCTCACTCTGATACTGTATATGTAGTGTTGAGTGCTTCTGAATAAATATCTGCTTTTAAAAAATATATTTTTATTGATTTCAGAGAGGAAGGGAGAGGGAGAGTTAGATAGAAATATCAATGATGAGAATCATTGATCGGCTGCCTCCTGCATGCCCCTGACTGGGGATCGAGCCTGCAACCTGTATGTGCCCTTGACCAGAATCAAACCAAGGTCTGCAGGCCAACGCTCTATCCACTGAGCCAAACCGGCTAGGGCAAAAAATATCTGCTTTTTAAAAAAGTGAAATCTAAACTATTAGCATAGAAATAACACCTGGGAAGATGAGGTCTCCACTTGAAAGCTTCAAATAGAGATTCTCCTGCTAATAATATTGAATAGTGGAGTTCCATACCAGTATAATATCTAAAATAAGGTGGCTGCTTAAACCACACAAAATGTGTACTATTGTGAAATAACAATGAATCATTGATTTTACACTTCTATTTTGATTGACCTGAAAAATAAAACTTATCTCAGAGAAGGTATTTTTATATGGATTATATTGAGCATTAATTCTTCAGGGTAATTATGGACTTAAAAATGTTTAGTACTATCTCATAGTCAATGCTGAAGTACCTTCCAGTGATGTAATGAACTCATATTCCACAAGGCATTCCAATCCATTTTGTACTGCTATTGATTCTTGTAACCGCTCATCCTTGTGTTGGGTTAAAATCTACAGTAGTTATGTTTCTTTTTTAAATATTTTTATTGATTTCAGAGAGGAAAGTAGAGGGAGAGAAAGATAGAATCATTGATTGCCTGCCTCCTGCGTGCCCCCTCACACTTCACAGAATTTGAATCCCTTTTCTATGTGATAGCATCTTAGATATCTAAAGGCATTTAGTTATTCTGTCCTCCATATCCCTCTCCTCCCAACTATTTCTCATAGGACACCATTTTCATCATCCTGATTGCTCTTTAGGGACATTACACTTTGTTAATGTTTCTTTTAAAATTTGTTCAGAATTTAAAATATTCAAAGTATAACCGAATTGGCTTTGGATGTTGCACATCTGGACATTAATGCAGCCTGAAGTCGCTTTGTTTTTTTTATCAGCCATGTATTGTTGGCTCATAATGAATTTGTAATTAACTAAAATCCCAAGATTTTATTCTGCTTTGCCTTAACGTGACTTCTTTCCAAATCAGGTCTCCATCTTCCTTTAGTTGTACAGCATATTTTTCAAGTCAGATTGTAAAACTTTACACATATCCCTGTTAAAATTTATCTCAGCCTATCAGCCAGCCTTGGTTTCTTTGAATCTTGATTTTTTTTCATCCAGTTTATGCTAATTGAACAATGGACCTTGAAGCTAGTATAAAAATATTTTCAAATATCTGAGAAACAATCAAAAGTCATGGAGATTCTTCCAAAAATTGTATGTAGATACAACTCAGGTCTTGAGGTATATATGAATTAATACCATTGTAAACTGACATGGTCAAGGACTGATGTCCATTGACAGAAGTTTTGTGTTGAACATTAAGAGGGATGATGTTCCAAGACATACTGTGCCGACATAATGTCAAAAGAGCTGGTTATTCTTCCTAAGAAATCAATTAATGCACTTACGAAGTAGAGACAGAGTTGTTGTGACTGTTCTTTTATTTTACATTTGACACGCATATACAGTACAGAGTAGTACAGTGTTAGGAACTGTGTGAAATTCTGGAGAATCAGGTTTGCCTGAGGCAACCCGGATTTCAGCCTATTGTCCCAGGGTAATTATTAGTAGCATCAGTTTCGCTTTTTAAAAGTGTGTAGGATTTGAGGATAAGTAACTGGCCATCCTTCTCATAATCCAACTAGTTCCTTTTAGTTTTGTTTTGCTTTTAACCTGGGTTAAAGATTACACAGTTATGATTTGGCAGATGTAATGAGGCTGCAATGGTACTTCTTATATTTGAACTTCCTTGACCAGGGGAAGTTGACAGCAAAAGGAACTACACATACTTAGTATTCCTCCTGAGCCACCCTCTAGAGGGCAGTAGTATATACATCTAAAATGACCCAATTTCAATGAAAAATGGCCTCTATGCATGAAAATCAGGAACTTTAGATGTTCTTAAAGAACCCATTGGAATCATTATTGTGAATACTTTATCTTTTGTTAAGCAAAAAAATAAATACTAAAATTAATTCATTAGCATTCTGAACATTCTTTTTTTAAAAATTGTAGAAACAACTTTGATGCCTCGAATATATAATAATTCATTATAACAATTATGCATAGACTTTAACAATCTGCATATTTTATGCTTTCATGTTTTCCCTAATTAATGATTTCACATGGTTAATTTTAATATATTCTGCATCACAGTTTCTATATTTATATGAAAATAAGCACTTAAAATGAATAGTTCTGTTCTACTTATTTAAATATTACTTTCCTCTAAAAGAAAACAAAAATGCTAGATTTTACTTTATGATTTGAATCATGTGGTAATGTAGAACTCTAGTATTTAGAATTAAAATGATTTTTAGAGATTGTGTAACTTTATAAGTTGGTAATTTGTTAGTTCCTAATATCAAAAGTGATTTCCTAATGTAATGTTCTCTTTTTAGAAAAGGTGGACAAGTCCTATTTTCAAGAGAAGATGACTTTTAACTGTTTTGGAGGATCTAAAACTTGTGTACCTGCAGCCATCGATAAGGATGAAGAATTTGTAGAAGAGTTTAATAGATTAAAAACTTTTGCTAATTTTCCAAGTAGTAGTCCTGTTTCAGCATCAACGCTAGCACGAGCTGGTTTTCTATATACTGGTGAAGGAGACACCGTGCAGTGCTTTAGTTGTCATGCAGCAGTAGATAGATGGCAGTATGGAGACTCAGCAGTTGGAAGACACAGGAAAGTATCCCCAAATTGCAGATTTATCAATGGCTTTTATTTTGAAAATAATGCTGCGCAACCTACCAATTCTGGTATCCAGAATGGTCAGTACAAAGCTGAAAACTACCTGGGAAACAGAAATCATTTTGCTTTAGACAGGTCATCTGAGACTCATGCAAATTATCTTTTAAGAACTGGACAGGTTGTAGATATGTCCGACGCCGTATACCCAAGGAACCCTGCCATGTGTAGTGAAGAAGCTAGATTAAAGTCATTTCAGAACTGGCCAGACTATGCCCACTTAACCCCAAGAGAGTTAGCTAGTGCTGGGCTCTACTATACAGGTGTTGATGATCAAGTGCAGTGCTTTTGTTGTGGTGGAAAACTGAAAAATTGGGAACCTTGTGATCGTGCATGGTCAGAACACAGGCGACACTTTCCCAATTGCTTCTTTGTTTTGGGACGGAATGTTAATATTCAGAATGAATCTGATGTCCTGGGTTCTGATAGGAATTTCCCAAATTCAACAAATTCTCCAAGAAACCCAGCCATGGCAGATTATGAAGCACGGATCATTACTTTTGGGACATGGATGTACTCTGTTAACAAGGAGCAGCTTGCAAGAGCTGGATTTTATGCTTTAGGTAAACTTTACTATAAAACCAGGCTAATAAATAACTTCCCAACTATCCCAAGCTCCTAAAAAGTAAATAGATTCCTTTAGCCCCTTGAACTGGTAAATATTTAGGTACGGTCTGGCATGATCATCACACTATTCTGTTAACCTTTATGTTGAATATGTAATGTAACCACTGAATTTCTGTGAAAGACTACTGTATTATGAGTCATGTTTATCTTCATGTAATTGTTTTTTGGAGAAGGATGACATGCAAAAGATTATAGATATCCCTGATGAAACAATGGGTCTGATAGTAATACTAACTATAATTTATTGGATGCTTACTCTTTGTGCTCAATATGTATATTACATGCATTTTCTCTGCACCTCTCAAGAAGAGTTAACATTAGAGAGTTTAGTTTGACTGACAGTAAAATTGGTATTAAAATTGGTATCTGCCTTTTGTACAAAGATTATATTTGAAAGCTGCCCTGAACGATGTTTTATTGCTTCAAATGAGTGCATTTCAAATGTACTACCTTAGACATGTCAGGAAGGGCCATTAGTGTGATGGCTTCAAGGGATTTTCAGAAAAATTTACACAATTATATATCTGATCCATTTACTTTAGGATTGAATAGTGACAAAATACCAAGTATTTCAATATTTTATTTATATAGTCTCATATAGCAATCTTGAAGGTTAGTGTCATATAGCTACAACCTTAGAGAATCTTATCTTATAACTTTATTATGCTTTAACTTTATTATTAAAGTGTCACAGTTGGAAAAGGTATAGTACTGATGGCCCCAAATGGCATGTTTAAAAAAGAATGTAATAGCCCTGGCTGGTGTTGCTCAATGATTAGAGCATCAGCCTACGCACTAGTGGGTCAAGGTTTCGATTCCTGGTCATAGGGCATGTACCTGGGTTGCAGGTCTGATCCCTGGCCCCATGTGGGAGGCAACCAATCAACAATGTGTCTCTCTCACATCGATGTTTCTGTTCTCTCTCTCTCTCTCTCTCTCTCTCTCTCTCTCTCTCCCCCCTTCCCCCTCTGTCCCCCTCCTGGAAAAAAATATCCTCCCTCCTCAGGTGAGGATTAAAAAAAAAAGAATGTAACAATTGTAATTTTCCATATAAAAATTGGGCTATTTTACTTTTGTATTCTGTAAAATACCTCAAATTGAATTAGTGAATTTAATGTGTATTGCCTCTCAAATGGTCCTATCTATTACTTAGATGTGAATTTGAATGTCTTCTTTTAAGCTGTGAGGTTTTTGTGTAAATTTAGAAATGCTTAATTTCATGGTGTTAAAACGGGTTTGTTTTTTTATTTGTTGATTTTAGAGAGAGAAGGAGAGAAAAAGAGAAATATTAATTTGTTGTTCTACTTACTTATGTATTCATTGATTGATACCTGTATGTGCCCTGACCGGGGATCTAACCCGCAACCTTTGTGTATCGATGCTCTAACCAACTGAGCTACCCCGGCCAGGGCCTAAAAAGGGTATTTTTGTGTAAGCTAATTGTACAAAATACATGTATTTTTACTTGTGTGTTTTCTTAGGTGAAGGTGATAAAGTAAAGTGCTTTCAATGTGGAGGAGGGCTAACTAATTGGAAGCCCAGTGAAGACCCTTGGGAAGAACATGCTAAGTGGTATCCAGGGTAAGGTAGTTAAATGTTTATTCAGTAAAAGCCAAGTTAGACAGTATGCAGTGGGAAGACTTGAATAACTTTTCACCTAAACTATTTTTGCCTTCCCATGGCTTGAAATTCACACCTGGTTTCTAAAAAATGGGGTCACCTACTTTATAGGAGAAAAACACCTAAGCCTTCTCTGGTGATGAAAACATTATTGCTTGTATATTATATTTATGACATTCAGATGATTCTATTTCTAAACACAAAGTATACATAGGAATGTATACTTCAGCTGTTGGAAGTAGGCTCTTTTACAATGGGCACAAGGGAGCCCATCACCAAGGAGATTCCAAAGAACCCATCACACCCTTTAGCAAAGCAAATATTACCATTTGTTACTGATTCTAAGACACAAAATTGTGTACATTTTCAGATCATTGAAATCAGATCCATCTGGTGGTGGGCCATAAGTTAATTGGCAGCAATAGTACATAAAGCAATCATGCTTTGTACAGTCAATGTCATCTTAGAGTGATGATGACATAATCTAAATGTCCTGCCATTTTGCCTCTTTTTTTAAAATTAATTTATTTTTCCCCCATTTTGCCTCTTTAAAATAAAGTGACATATACAGAAGTGGTATGCATTTTTGATCTACAAAATAGTACAACTTGAGAGTAATCATTTGAAAATAAATCTTAACCTTAAACAGCTTTAACAGGAAATGTTGAAAGCCTAAAGAATTCTTTTTAAATGCACAATTGGTTAATCCTCTAAATAACATTTGTTAAGATTAACTATTTAAAACTTTGAAAATATGTTAAAGTGATAATTTAATAACTTGCTTAAAAGTTGTAAATTAAGTTGATTTTTTAAAAAAATATTTTTATTGATTTCAGAGAGGAAGGAAGAGGGAGAGAAAGAGATAGAAACTTCAGTGATGAGAGAGAATCATTGATTGGCTGCCTCCTGCATGCCCCACACTGGGGATTGAGCCTACAACCCTGGCATTGCCCTGACTGGGAATTGAACTGTAACCTCCTGGTTCATAGGTCGATGTTTAACCACTGAGCCATGCCGGCTGGGCAAGTAACATTTTGTTTTGTGGCTCCTTAGATTTACTGAAAAGCAAGTTAATGGAATTAAAATGGTGGATATTATATCATACACTTTACTAATTTTTCAGCTACTAAAGTTTAACCTTCTTGTTTAGGTGTAAATATCTGTTAGAAGAGAAGGGACAAGAATATATAAACAATATTCATTTAACTCATTCACTTGAGGAGTCTGTGGTAAGTCAAATATTGTAGAATATATATTTTCAGGTATTATATAATTTGTTCTGCAATGATTTCTTGGTGTAAAATTCACAGTGTAGTATTTTAAATTGATAATGTATGGTGAACTTTAAAGGGAAGATCTTGAAAAGTGTTTGTTATTTTTTCTGTTATTTATTTTTGTTGATTTCAGAGTGGAAGGGAAAGGGAGAGAGAGATAGAAGCATCAATGATCAGAGAGAATCATTGATCAGCTGCCTCCTGCACATCCGCTACTGAGGATTGAGCCCTAAACCCAGGCATGTGTCCTGACCGGGAATGAACCATGACCTCTTGGTTCATAGGTCAACATTCAACCACTGAGCTACACTGGCCAGGCTGTTTGTTGTTTTTTTTAAATATATTTTATTGATTTTTTACTGAGAGGAAGGGAGAGAGATAGAGAGTTAGAAACATCGATGAGAGAGAAGCATCTATCAGCTGCCTCCTGCACACCCCCCAGTGGGGATGTGCCCGCAACCAAGGTACATGCCCTTGACCGGAATCGAACCTGGGACCCTTGAGTCTGCAGGCCAACGCTCTATCCATTGAGCCAAACCGGTCAGGGCTGTTTGTTATTCTTAATCTGAAGCAACTTTGTGAAAAGGGGATTAGGATGAACTGATTTAATATCACTAAAGGCAAAAATGGTCTTGAGGAACTAAAATACTTGCATCTCTCAATCTTTTGAAATTTGACTGTTTTGTACGGTGTGTTTTATAGTCAGTTTTAAACTGTCCTCAGACAATAATTAAAATCTCAGAAAGGTATCTAAATTGATATTGTCACCTAGGGTGGCCAAGGCGTCAATCAGTACCATGTAAAAAGAGGTCTGGAGTAGAATGGGAGACCAGAGTTGCCATTATTGTTCTGCCATGAACTATATTGCCTCAATCAAGTTGTTTAATCTTCCTCATTGCCAGCTTCTTGTCTGTAAAGTGAATGGCTTGGGTTAGATGATCTTTTAACTTCCTTCTAGCTTCATCAGGCTATGCCTCTTGTGAATATTCATGTTGAATTGGAATAAAGCCAATTTTTAAATTCATGATTAATGTAACTTTTAAAATTAAGGTTATTGCCTTCTAACAAGAAGAATTTTAACTTATAATTCATATTTCTATTTTAGGGAAGAACTTCTGAAAAAACACCATCACTAACTAAAAGAATTGGTAAATATGCTTATTATAATAAACATACTTTAATTTCATTATTATTTATAGAGTAGAAAGGTAAACATAATCTTTCAGGTTCACCAAGGTGTGTGTATTTGAGATGAGATTGCTATAAACTTAAGTAACGACGTACTTATGTTTCAGTAGGATATTTATATATTCAGAACATTCCTATGGAGGTTGTACAGTTACCTTTCCAAGCTTGAAAGGAGCAGCTAACTATAGGTTGTCCATCACCACTTCTGTTAAAATCACAAAAGGAAGGGTTAGATATATTTTTGTCCCTGGAGCTTTTTTAGTTAGCCCGGATCATGAATCCAGTGCTCTACTAATGTGCCATCACCATAATTAACCCTAACCTACCTGTCTAATTTTTCCATGCTGTCTTTGTGCCTTCCCCATCTTGTTTGCAGAGGATTATGGTTAATTTTGTTTGTTCCTATTACCTCACAGAGAGGTAGAAGTTTTTATCACAAAGATTACTTACTTATCATAGACATCTTTAAAATAAAAAATGTAACATGTTAAGTGAGGAAGATGTTGTTATCCCCATATTTCAGATGAGGAGAAAGAGTCAGCAAGGTTTAGTGACCTATCCACAGTTACATTACAAATTGCTGGGGTCCAGCCCCAGCGGTCCAGGGGTTCCCAAATGTGTGGACGGAGTCGGCGAAGAATGTTTTACACGGAGACAGTGTTCATAGCTCTCTTGCTTTCTTTAGTCTCCGTGGATCTTCCCTGTGCCTGGCTGGGGCCACAGAGAGAGATCCCAGGGCAAGCTGAGCCTTTATTTTATAGTGAGAGGTAAACAAGGTAGTGGTTACCAAAGTTACACTGTTCTTGTGAGTTTCACTTGTTTTTGTTCTTGTGAGTTTCACTTGTTTACACCATGGTTATACTTCCTGCACTTCCTCAGCCCATTAGCTTCCCAGATAAGATCTAGGGAGTGTTACAAGGTCAAGCCTAATTATGCTAAGAGGACTGTGCCCTCTAAGCTGGGAATTGTTTGTGACTTTGCCCACAGGTCAGTCCGAGGCTTAACCCTATATCAGCTCCCCACAACAAATCATTAGTGGAACTAGGGCTGTAAACAAGGTTTTCTGAATTCTACATCACACTACAGATCTCATTCTCAACTGAGGCATTATGATTCAAATATAGTAGAAAGTTTAATTTAGAATATGTCTGGTGATTCCCCACTCCCTATACTCATAACATCGCCTGTTTAGTATCTTAAGGATTTCAAGGAAGAGAATATATTCATAAATATGCTTGAGAAGGCGATCCACTTTAATGTGGGTTTTGCAATAGGAATAAATAATACAGTTAAAGAAATTATTCATTCCAGCCTATATTTTTGAAATTATCCAGAAACAAACATTCTGTAACATTCCTTGATAATCATCCTTACAATGCATACTATTCTTTTTATGATTAATAAATTGGTGTTTTGGTTTAGGATTAATGTTTTTAAATTGAGATATAATTTATTTAAAAATTTTCACCATTATAAAATATACACTTTGGTGGTTTTTAGTATATTTACAAGGTTGTGCAACCATCACTACTATTTAATTATAGAACATCACTATTATTACCCCAACAATAAACCCCATACCCATTAGCAATCACTTCCCCTTGCTGCCCCCCACACCCCAGCCCCAAACAACCACTAATCTACTTCTGTCTCTATGAATTTCCCTATTCTGGACATTTCATATTAAATGGAATTATAATGACATCAAGGTTTGCTCATGTTATATTCATATATGTGTTTTTATTATGGTGGAAAATTTTTTGTATGGACAATACATCTTATTTATTAATTTGTCACTTGGTAGACATAGCTGATGCTGCTATGAACATTTATGTACAAGTTTTTTTATGGACATGTTTTTAATTTTGGGGGGTATATATTTAGGGATAGAGTTGCTGGGTCATGTGGTAACTCTTATGTTTAACCTTTTCAGTAAACTGCCAGTGTTCCAAAGTGGCTGTACCATTTCACATTCCCACCACCAGTGTATGAGGGTTCCAGTTTGTTTCTCCACATCCTTGTTAACACTAGTTATTCTTTGTCTTTTTATTACACCATCCTAGTGGGTGTGAAGTGGTGTCTCATCATGGGTTTTTTAAGGGAGAACTTTTTAAAATGTTGTTATTGATTTTAGAGAGAGAAACATCGATCGGCTGCCTATTGCATACCCCTACAAGGGGTTGAACCCGCAACTCGGGCATGTACCCTGACCAGGAATCAACCAACCATCTCTTGGTGCATGGGTAAACAACCACTGAGTCACACTGGCCAAGCCCTTATCGAGGTTTTTTTTGTTTTGTTTTGTTTTTAATATATTTCTTTATTGATTTCATAGAGGAAGGGAGAAGGAGAGAGATAGAAACATCAGTGATGAGAGAGAATCATTGATTGGCTGCCTCCTGCACACCCCACACTGGGGATGGAGCCCGCAACCCAGGCATGTGCCCTTGGCCGGAATCGAACCTGGGACCCTTCAGTCCGCAGGCCAATGCTCTATCCACTTAGCCAAGCCAGCTGGGGCCCTTATCGAGGTTTTGATTGTATTTCCCTGATTGCTAATGATGTTGGGCAGTTTTCATGTGCTAATTGGCCATTTGTATGTCTTTGGAAAGATGTCTGTTCATCTCCTTTGACAGTTTTTAGTTGGGTTATTTGTGTTCTTATTTAAAGAGAAGCCTGATGCATGAAGATTCGTGCAAGAATAAGCCTTCCTTCCCCTGGCTGCTGGCATGCGGTGGGCTTGCTTGGGCAGCCTGTGCAGCGGCAGCAGAGGCGGGGAGGACTGGAAAGGTTGGGTGCACTAGTGCGTTTCACTTTCCCATTGTGAAAGTGGGATGCAGCTGGCCCCCTTTCTCATCCTCTTGGGATGCAGCGCCCCCTTTCTCATCCTCTTCCTCCTCCACCCTCCGCCTCCTGCCTGCCCACCCTCCCTCCACACCCATTGCCCATCCCCTCTTGATTTGGCAAGATAGGGAGGAGGGAGATCTGATAATTTGGGTTACTGTGTAGGTGGCCTCTTTCATCTATTCAAAACAAAGCTGAGCTGCCTGCCGCTGCTGCCACGGCCACCACCATTGCCCCTTGACTGGCCCGGAGCTCCCGAGGCGTGTTAACTGCACCAAGCGAGTTCCCATACGTGTACGCGCTCACGGGGCTGCTCCAACGGTAGGGTTTTGTTTACCAGAGCAGCGGGGCAGGGGTGGGGTAGAGGGAGACGCCAGACACCGGGAGCTACGACCTCAGGCACCAGAGAGTTGCCTCTGAGGTGGGAGGCTGGGCCACAGGGAGGCTGCAAGGATAATTGACAGGTGGAGCACGGCAGGGAGGCCCTGAGGAGGCACGCTGCCAAGAGGCCTGGAGCGGAGGGGCGGGGGGGCACCACCATCTTTGTTGTGTTAATTTGCATACTCGTTCCTGATTGGCTGTGGGGCACAGAGTGATGGTCAATTTACGTATTTCTCTTTTATTAGATAAGAGTAAGAGTTCTTGATATATTCTAGCTCTTTTCATATATATATGATTTGCAAATATTTTTCTGAAGATTGTCTTTTCATTCTTATTGGTGTCCTTTAAAGCAAACACGTTTCTGATTTTGATGAAGTCCAATTTATCTGTTTTTGTTTTTTGGTGTTTTTTTTTTTTAATCCTCACCCAAGGATATTTTTCCATTGATTTTTAGAGAGTGGAAGAGAGGGAAAGACAGAGAGAAATATTGATGTGGGAGAAACACATTGATTGGTTGCCTCCTGCACACGCCCGACTAGGGCCTGGTTCAAGGAGAAGCCTGCAACCAAGGTACATGCCTTTGACCAGAATTGAACCCGGGACCCTTCGGTCTGCAGGCCAATGCTCTATCCACTGAGCCAATTGAGTGTGGCTCTTCCACAAAATACCACGTGAGGGCGCACACATACAGTGTGATTGAAACTTCGTGGCCCATGTGCAGAAGTCGGTATTTTGTGGAAGAGCCACACTCAAGGGGCGAAAGAGCGGCATGTGGCTCGCTAGCCGCAGTTTGCCGGAACAACTGGGCTAGGTGATCTGGGTGGTTTTTTTTTGTTGCTTTTGCTTTTGATTTCATATCTAAGAAACCATTGCCTAATCCAAAGTCACCTATGTTTTCTTCTAAAAGTTTTATTTTATCTCTTACATTCAGGTATTTGATCCATTTTGAGTTAATTTTTATATATAGTATGAAGTCATGGTACATTTAATTCTTTTCCGTGTGGATATCCTGTTGTCCTTGCTTTTGGTTTTCAGCAAGTTTAGCTTCAGGTACCTGCAGAATATCCAAGGTGGTGAATATTAAAACCTGGAACTCATAGAAATGAGGGTAAAATTGTGGTAGTAGAAAAAGTGTCCAGAGACATTGTAAAAAAGGGAGGAGGGTCAATGAGGCAGTGGAAGGGAATCATCAATATCTAATCAGGTGGGCAGAAGGGGCCAGCAAAGCAAACTGGGAAAAAAAAAACAGTCAAGAGTTAGTAGA